TACGCCTTTGAGATCTTCAGACATTCATATTCTGCTCTTGAAGTTTCTGGTTTATACGGGTTAATCGCTCAATACATGTTTTTCTATTAATTCAAATCCATTAATTTGTTTTATTGGATAAACAATAATTTTTATGAAATATTCGGTAAGAAAATACTTGTTATTATGTTATAAACAGACATCGTTGCATTAACAAATATCATCATAAACGACTAATACATTGCATCATATATTTTTATTAAACTTTTCGGTAAATGACTTTAACTCCGTACGTAACCTATTAATCGGTGGAATTATATCAATTTTATAAATATATATAGAGTTCCAATCCGGGTAAATCCATCATCCGTTTATCCGTATCTGAATTATCCGGATAATTCAGGTGGCGCAAAAATTTGCGGTCCCGTGACTAATTCAATAACAATGATATCCTAATTTTCGTCTAAAAATTAATGTTTGCAATTCAAAGTAGAAAGAATATTTCTAAACTTTTGTGCTGAAAATTTTTACATAATAACAAAGACCAATTTCCCTTGCGGATTTTATGAGTTTTTTGCGATTTCTGGTTTTTATTTTTTTACTTCGCACTTGTATGTTACGCACTGAGCTTACAATCGGATTGAATAAAAATCACGGACCGCCAAATTTTTGCGCCATCACTATTTCACTCTATTTAAATAATTATCGGATATCCGAATAAATTCAGATCCCGATATCTGATGGATAAACGGATAAACAGATAATGGGTCGGAACACTAAATATATATTTACCATTGAGGCAGGGACGTGCCGCTATCAAATTGGAAAACTTCCATTTATTCCATTTTATTCCGATATTACCAAAAAAAAAAAACTTTTAGCAAACCAAAATTTAATTTTCAATTTCCGAAGATTATTACGCGATAAATAGCGATATTTGATTGGCTATAATTTATCATTTTATTTCTTAATGGAGGTATTCATCGTCCCTGCATTGGGGGTTTCAGAATTAACCTACTTAGAAAATAAATGGAGGTTTAAAAGGTCCTATTTCTGGTTTAAAATTTTAAAATTCCGAATCAGAAAATTAAATACGTAGGCATGTCCGGTAAAGTTGGTTTTCGGATTATCCTAAAATAAAAAGATTTGTTTTGGGATATCCTAAAATTTCTAAATTGTCCCAAATTGTCCTATATTTTTATTAATGTGAAAATACTAATGATTGATAAATACACTTTTGGAACACTCGCTTCAAGCTGCAGATCTATAACGTAGTTATTATATTAATGATTAAATTGGTAACAGTAAAGAAAGTCATGTTATGGGTGATGATGAAATAATTATGGTTGGTCATTAGTATAAAGAAGAAATTGGGAGTTAAAAAGAATAAACACGAAGCGTTCGAATATTATCAAAATCTGATAGTAGTTTAATTTAAAGATAACATATGGGCTTGGTGCTGCAAAAAGGGACGAAATTGACAAAAACAAAGATCTTCATAAAATCAATTTTTATTTTGTAAATCTTATAATAAATTATAAGAAAATATAAACTTTAAGAAGCTATATTGCAAAATTTTATTAACACAACTACTTTTGTGTCTTAAGTGAAAAATGATCCTAATATTATTTTAAATTGATTTATGTAAAAAAACACCTTTTGAAAAAATTGTCGATTTCGTCCCTTTTTGCAGCACTTAGCCCATATAATCATAATCATCTAACTATAATTTGATTTTTATTTTAATTCCACTAATATCGACACAAGAAATTAATAATAAGTTTTACACACATATTAGTTGATTTAGAATCAAATTTAGGTTGGTACTGTGTGAAGAACCAGGTGTTGTATTTGGAGGATATAATATCGATATTAACTAATTTTTCGGATAATTATTTCATTTCAAACCCTAAATCGAGACCATTTTACATAATTATTGTGGAAAAAAAAAATTACTGATCGCCTATGACAGTAATTATTTCACTTAAACCGATTTAAGGTTTGAATTCATTATACATCAAAGCAAGTATAAAATACGATATCGAATTATATTTTGTATAATTTAATTTTAAGGATTCAATTTTATTCGCTTTAATTTTAATAGTAGTGATTATATCGATAATTGCTGTGCCAATAAGGTGAATTTTCTATTTTCGGATACATAGCTTTATTTTAGAAGCTACGTTAGAGTGTCCAGACTTATGCGATTTCGGGGATTTTTCATTGTTCAAACAATGAAAAATCCCTGAAATCGCATAAGTCTGGACACTCTAAGCTACGTATCCTAAATTATTTGTCCGAAAAGCCTAAAATCCGAAAAAACCCTACCTACCAACTTTAGTGTCCGAATTAGCTTTTTTTGATAAATATCTATTATGCAAATAAGTATATACTTTTGAAAAAAAAATAGAATTATAGACCAATTTTGAAATAAATACGTCATTTATTTTATCTGAAATCGGACGTCAATCATTAATTTTGAAACCCCATTACATACAAATCATTTCATTCGCATACTATATATAAGGCGAAAGGAATTTAAATATAGAAAATACGTACGTACATTATAACGAATGTAACACGAATAAAGCATTATGTCTGTAATATGACTCTTAACATAGCAATGAAAGGATGAACAAGTAGTAATAAGGATATTGAATCCTTGCATATAATAAAATGATTGAATGGATTTAAAGAGGTGTTTGTTCTTTACTTTCTGTGATCTAGTTGGAGAATTTTCATAATGAATTTATGTAATATATAGTACATGAGCTAACAACTATTACATGCATTAAATAAAAAAAAAAAAAAGGCAATGGTAAAGTTTATATACAATTCCAGATCACGCAGTCAACGATCGCTTCCTGCCTCTCTGACGTAGCCGATAAATCATAACTTATGCTAAATCAATTATATTTATTATATATAATTATAATAAACTGTTAAGAGTTCATGATTTAATTTTCGTGTAACATGGTTTTGTCGGGCTATATCAAAGAGGTCGGAAGCGATAGTTGGTCGCGTGATCTGGGCATTTATTAGCTCACTTTAATCTGCTTTTTTTTTTCGGTAAACGAAATTTATATATGGGCTGCCGTCAATATAAGGCAGATTAACATTTTAAAAAAATCAATACCTTAACTTTCGCAGCTCATATCTTGATGATTTAATATTCGAAAGAAAGCTTAGCTCGTAAGCTTTCTTTTGACTATTAAATCATTAAGATAGCCTTAAAATCCGTCGAGATATGAGCTGTAAAAGTTAAGGTATTAGTTTTTTTAAAATGTTAACCTGCCTTATTCTACGTATTGACGCAGCCCATATATATATATATATGTATAGTATTATATAATTTTTAACTTGATTACTATATATATAGTTTGATTTGAATAATTTTATTATTAAAAATTTTTATTTTAATAAAACAATTTTAACAAGCTCAAAATTATTAAAATATTTTAAATATTTTAAACAAGTTAAGACATTTAAAACAATACAAATAATCTTAATAATTTTTAACTTGTAATTAAATTTTTAATAATTTTCAACTTTTTAGAATTATTTTATTAGAATAATTATAATATTTTAATAATAAAAATCATTCAAAATAAACCAATAAATTGAAGTTATTTATTATATACAATATAATGTATACAATATATACGTAGAATACGTATAAAAAAAATTTTTTTAAGTATATAAATTTTTAAACTTTTTTTTTTAATTTATATACAGTATATAGTAATTATTAGATCAAATTTGATAAAAATTCTTTATATAGTTATATTGCAATTTAAAATAAAATTCAATAAATTTGATTTGATAATTATTAAGATACGGCATTTTAACTACAATACTATATATAGCTATATATAATAAATTACTTCTCTTTTTTAATTATTTTTAAATTAAATAGTACTGTGCATTGAAAGTATAGTTATACTGTACAAATTTTAGCTTTAGACCCATATTAAATTATATAGCACAGTATGATTCTTATATACTATATTAAAAGGTCATGAAGTCGTTATGACCAAATGATTTATGATAGATCATAAAAATCATATAGTTACTAGGGTATCTCCAATTAAAAAAAGTTTTTATTATAAATTTGTTAATTAGATAACTAGTGCTTTGATCAATTCGTACATTATGAATAACGCGAATCTTTCACTAAACTACATCATGAGCAAATTAGATACGAATAATACATAAATGTCTTTGACATTAATTTCGCACATTAAAATAAAATTTGGGTCTATATAAACGTTCTAAAACCCATTTATATTCTTTTATTAATTAATAAACATAACCTAAATACTAGCCAAACCCCAAAAATAAAGCAAAAAAAAAATCTAAATATTTTATTACAAAATATAATTTTCATATTAAAATTAGTTAATATTTCATTTTAATCTGATTTAGGTTAGAATCATATTAATTGATGATCCAGATAAGATCGGCAGAATTACTATATTGGGACAATAGTAAATTTTGGGGTTAAGTACAATATAAATTTTTATTATATACTGGAATCTGAGAATCGTCCAATGATAAGTATTTTTTTATTAAGTTAACAGCCAAAGTCAAATAATTGAAAGTTGTAGAGCTCACTGAGATGCATCTAATAGTAGTTAGATCGTTCAATTTGGCCTAGTAGACACCAAGATATCACTAAAAAACTATTAATTTACTATATAAAATTTTATAAAAATTTTATATAGTAAATTAATGGTTTTTTAGTGATATCTTGGTATATACTAGGCCAAATTGAACGATCTAACTACTATTAGATGCATCTCAGTGAGCTCTACAACTTTCAATTATTTGACTTTGGCTGTTAACTTAATAAAAAAATACCTATCATTGGACGATTCTCAGATTTCATCATATAATCAATATCATCCAAATTCTAATATAGAAATTCTGCAGATCTTATCCGAATTAGTAATTAATCAGTTATTTTAATATCATATTACTGTACAATATATATATTTATTATTATGAATATGTTGTTAACTTTAATCTAGAAGTACTTTGGGTTCTTGTGCTCGTAATCGTTGTTGTTGAATTGCACTTTGTCTCTTTGACATAATTTTAGGTGAAGGAGGTTCTAAATTACCTATGTCTAAATATGGACTTCTACCTTCTTCATTTTCAGACCGCCCAAATACTGTAAGTACATAAATTCCACGCATCATATTCCGGAAGCAAATGACAGAATAAAATACTGTAATTGCTACAAGTGCGAATGTAGTAGCTAAAAAGAAACTTAGAAATCGTCGAGTGAATTCATACGGATCTAATATAAAAAAACGGAGTCGTGGAATCGTGTAAATAGACATTCCATGAATTTGATTTGGTAAAATCAAAGAAAAAAGATAAATAAATACCAGTTCCATCTGTTGAAGTGATAACGTTAACCGTTACAAGTCGATATACCCAGTAAATCAATGAGAGAGAGTAAATATTGATCACCGATAATAAGAGATATTTCATTTCCATAGTGACTGAGAACCAAGCCAACAGTAACATGAGTGTACCAAAAAAAAAGATGAGAACAACCTCTATGATACTATATGAGTAACCAATTTTTTGAGAAGGTATAAGTTGTAAGGCGTATGACCCAATAAAGAATACGTCAAGTTTAATCAATGTCTGTAAAATTGTGAGGTACAAATATGTGTTTCGAACTAGAATATCAGCAGAATAAGTTTTATAGTTTTCCCAACCAAATTCTTTGGAAAGCCTGTAAGACATGAATGCTAAATATACAGAAAATACTGATATTATGCCAAGAATAGCATGTTCGATTGGCCGCATCCTAGCTTCATAATATCTTTTTGGTGCATCCCGATCGTTTAAAGGAAAAAGGGAAGTATCCGGTGTATATGTTGCGTTTACAGTCCCTTCATCCTCAAGAATTTGGTGTTGATAAAGTTGTATTCCCGCGTAGATTAATGAAAGAAAATTGAATGCGACTAGGGCTATTAACTGAACAGTATTTCGTTGCCTGAGAGCATCAGCTGCTAAAAATATTTGGAAGAATAACGAGAGGATGAATCTTGAAAATAATGCAAAAAATAAATAAATTAATTAATAAATTTTTTAAAAAAATTGATTTATAATAATTTACTTACATTGCATGATAAATTAAGTCTGCTTCAGATATTCCATCACCTTGTCGAGATAGTTGATATTGTTTAACAAAACTGACATGAAAATAAACAACGAAAGATTCCAAGACAGTGATGAAAATCGCCTGTAATATGATAGAAATAAACGTGAATTTGCCTATTAAAGACAGTTTCTTTAACATTATTTATATATAATTAGTAGACTAGAGAACGAAAATGGAATTTTGACGCTATCTCTTAACGTGTTTATGAAGCAAAAAAAAAACGCAGGGAAAAAAATGTAAGGTAATCGACAAATAGAATAGTGGCTTTCGGCCTAATTTTTTTCTCAAAATTATATAAAATTGTATAGATTTCCTAAATAAAGGTAGGTGATCAATCTGCAAGCTGACTCAGCCGAGACTACGTAGTGTTTTTGGATAACCCGCAACAAAAAATTAATTGTTCCCCATAAGATAGGCATAAGATAACCATAAGATAATGTAAATTTATCAGAAATGTACATTATATATATATATATATTTTCGTTTAAAATTTTTTTAAATAAAATTTTTGCAAAAATTTACCCGCCGGGTTACGAGAAGCAATTTGTTAAAGCAATTAATTAACTTTGCATAGCCTAAGATTGTTCTATAAAAAAAACAATTGTGATTGATAATATCATATAAATAAATAACAAATAATGATAAAAATATAAATACAAAATCTTGTTAACTATATCAAGTTATTAGAAAATTGTTTTTCACATTAGGATCGTACGTATGTGCGTACTTGAATTGTATCCTAATTTTTCGTGGCTTAATAAAATCTTGTTTTAGACAAGGTCCATGCGTATCATTCTTTTTTATTCTTCTGCCTATCATTCATTACACATTGTTAAATTCTTCCGTACGTGTAGAGCTTACTCATTTTGACTTATCGGACGAATTAAAATCATTCATGTGAATGCCAAAAATCGTAAGGTAGTACGTTCTGAAATTTCAAATCTGTATCTCGGGTTTGATATTTTCTAATGTTTTACAATACCCAAATTTCACAAAATTTCGCAAAATTTCGCATTGATGTTTTACAATATTCAAATGTAAACAAGCGATGCAAGGCATCCCAGTCGTGTGACATCAGCGGGTGGTGAAACGATAGGCGGATGCATACAACCTTAAATTATGTATATTGTCTTCTATTCCTTTTCTTGCCCTGTCTCTTGTGAGTTGACTGACACCTGGTGAGTGACGTTACGTAGAACTCATTTCGGTCTATGCTATTTATTTTACTACCTTTTCTTGGGATAAAAAATCGAAATAAAACAAGATTTACCACCCTTTTTTTTTTTTTTTTTTTAAAAAAAAAAAAAAGTTTCGAACAAATGTCTCGTCTAGATGTTTTCAATGTGTCTATACTATTTTTATGTGTCTTGTTATAACCTCTCTTTCTCGTTATAACGTATAATAGATAACACCTGGTAAAATCTCCTTACCTCTATACACGCAATCTCAGGAGGTAAGTTTTAGATCACAACTTTACGGATTAAGAATAAATTTAAAGTATATTCAAAGTTCGACAAAATGGTTATCTTATTCTTAATGCATGGCATTAATGCTTGAAATTTAATTTATTTTTAGGCTTCCTTTGTTCACGTATTTAAAATCTCTGGTAAATTCTCGCGAATTTTAATTACATGTTACAAATAGTAGATGCAACCGGTTTTTTCTAATTTTATTTCGTTCCACTTGCATTTATTTTATTAGTTCTAGGAATTGAAATACGTTCTAGGTTGGTGTCTATGCACGTTTATGCAATCTTTAAATTTCATTTATATTTATTCATTTAATATTCTTTATAGTGTAGGAACGGAAATATATTCCGTATTCATCTATTGATATAATGTCACGTGGTGACTCCGGGTATATGAGTTATGATTCCATTTATGGTCTTAAATCAGATGGAAGTAGTCGTGATAATTACGAAAAATTTGATGCTTATAATGATTATGTTGAAGATGGTCAAAGCACGCAAATTTCAGGACATGATAACAATTATAATGAACGTGATCTAAATGAGCACGCATATTACAATAATTCCACAAACAATGATTATAAATCTAATTATAACCAACGCATGTATGCGCGTTCTCCTTCATCCACACCATCACCTTTAAATCATCCATCGGAATATACAGAAAATAATGGCCTCATTCTAGGTTCACATCAAAGAATTGTTCATAGGCCAACAGTGTCAAAAAATAGCAATACTTTGGGTTCTCCAATGTTTCCTCCTCCACTTCCACAATATTCTCCGAGATTATCACCAATGCAACATCCGAATAATAATTCTCCCACATTCAGACCGCCCCCATCACCAACCCTTTTTCCAAGAGGTTCATCACTGAAAGGAAATGACAATAATGTAGTACCGATTAACTCACGAGATCGATTTAATAATCATACTTCATTGCCTGCCACAACAAATAGACAGCGTCCACAGCATGTGAATCATCGCTCTAATACGCATGATGGTCAGATACAGCTTCCTCCTCTTCAATTTAATTCACAAAAACTTCCTAAATCAGATAATTCACCATCTTCGCCGTATGATTTTTTTGATTTAATTGATGAATATTCGGAAATTAACAGTATATCTGAGAAAACTGAAAATACCAGTATAACTGAGAAAATTGTGAAAACTGAGAAAACTGAAAAACCTAATATACCTAATGTCGATAAAACACGCTCGCCACAAGAAGGTATATATATATTAAAATTGTTATACTTTATTTAATAGATAGATCTAAAGGTATTACATTATATTATCAGTTATTTTAGCAAAAAACCGAAAACGTGATGCCGCTGTTACCGAAATCCTTACTACTGAACGAACTTACGTTGATGGTCTGAGAAAACTTGTGGATTTTTTCTTAATGCCTTTACGAGAAAACTATAAATATGCTCAAAAAAGTATCTTGTCTACCAAGCCTCTTGCTACATCTGAGGAGATTGCATCTTTATTTGGTAATATCGAACCATTATTGTCATTTCACAAAGAATTATTAAAATATTTAGAAGCAAGGTACAGATTTTATATATAACTCCTTCGTTGGTGCTTTTTATCTAAGTATTTATATTTTAATTAAATTTATCATTGATGACATAGATATAAGAAATGGAGTCCAACAGAAAAAATCAGTGATATATTCTTAGAAAACGTAAGTAGATAGATTATTACAAAAATAATTTTGAATATTTAGATCAAAGTGTTGTTGGATTAAGTGCAATAAATCAAAATTTCATTATACACCCTATCACCAATATATCCGTTTCACATGCGATTTCAATTCTGTTTATCATCTATGAGAGTTAACAGTATTTATTTTTTATTTTTTTTTAATTATTCAATTCAGGCACCTTATTTAAAAATGTATAGTGCTTATTTAAAAGGCTTTCCGCAAGCCATAGCAACTATGGAGCGTCTCAATAAAGAGAGCAAAGATTTTAAAAAATTTATTCAGGTATTCATTAATTGTCATTGAAATCATGATAATTAAATATTCAGTTAATATTAATGATCCATTTATGTGTTATCAGAGTTGTCAAGGAAGACCAGAGCTAGGAAATTTACCTTTCAATTCTTTTTTAAGTTTGCCAATTCAACGAATACCTCGTTACAAGTTATTGCTTGAGGCTTTGTTAAAACACACCGAGAATACACATCCTGACTATATAAATCTTGAACAATGTGTACGGCAAATTAGTTTGATTGCCGATGATGTTAATGAAAAGTATGTTAAGAGTCGTTCTTCATGTTTTTTAAAATTGTAAAACTAATGGTTATTTTATATATAGAATACGAGATGCTGAAAATCAGCAAAAAGTATTAGAAATTCAAAACAAAGTCGAAAGACTGCCGAATAATATATTAGATCCTGCTCGAAGATTCATATACCAAGGAGATCTATATAAAGTTACCCAGCGATCTTCACCCAAGAGACCATACTTCATAGCAACAGAAGATAGACGTGCCCATTTTTTATTTAACGATCTACTTCTTCTTTGTATAGAATTCCAAGGGAAGCTATTATATACTGGACAAATTAATTTGAATAAATCATATCTGATTGATATTGATGATAATGATGCAGATCAACCTTTCTGTTTTCAAATAATCACTACAACAACGGAGGGAAGGGAGGCATGCCACACGGTTCGAGCTACTACAGCTGAGGAAAAAAGGGAGTGGATTACAAGAATTGATAATGCACTCAGAGCGCTGAAAAGGGGAATAAGAAATAATCCTGGTATAAAATAAAAAGGTAAGTTAATTTCATTCAACTTTTACCATTATAGTTATTTATTTATTATATTTATTCAGTTCTTTTTGAATTTTGAATTTACTGTAGACCTCGTTTTTTGTCATGTATTACCTACATAACATATCGTGCAACGGCTGCATTAACTTATTTAACTTATATTTATAAACTTGCAATTTAGCTTTAATGTTTCAAATACCCAAAAATTGATAAACATTTCTATTGAATAGAGATTTAAAATAACAGGAGATTAAGACTACAAACTTTACATTTTGAGATCAAGGATATCATTAATTGTGCCACATGAGCATCTGTATTTTACCATATATAGAATACGTGTATTTATAGAGGCAATTATTTTAAATACTTTTTTATTTAACAAGAATATTTATTTATTTGCTTATTTATTTATTTTAATGCATTAGCACCTAAGAGCAGTTATAGCAATTTTTTTACAAGACATTGTTGCATTTGTAATAAAAAATATATACCAGATATTGTCATCATGTAATGTTTACATGCTAGTGTAAACATTTATAAGTGTTAATATGCTAATATATAATTCTCTAATTTATCCTTATGTATCTATGTATCTACTAATAAATTTTATGAAAACTTAAGTTGCGAAAATTACTTATTTCTTTTGAGGTTTTTTGTTTGAACAGTAAATTAATTCTTTAATTTGTGTAGCTCGGCATTAAATTTGTATTACTTATAAGCCAGTTTATTACATCGATTAGCTCTTTATATCAAACCACAAATTTCAAAATTATATTACGGCAACACATCAAACCTATTTATATCGTTGATTTAATTGAATCGACGATTTGCATAATTTTTTTTTCCCGCGAGTCCTGTGATTACAATAAGGGATTCACTTCAACTTCGTCATATTTCGCGGGATTCATTTTAGAGTTCATGTATTTCCCTTTATTGATAACTAACTTCCACAAAATACGACGAATATAAAGTGGTTGTTATCTATATGGTATTCACACGGACTCGCGGGCTCAAAAAAAAAAAAAAAGTATGCAGATCGTCGATCCAACTAAATTGAAGCAGCTGTAAAATAAAAAACCAACTACACGAATCAAATTCTAATCTTTAAAACGTTAGCGTAGGAACTTGATTTTGGAACCTTTATATAATTTTTTAATTTCGTAGTTTTATTTTGTAGAACGTGCTAATCCCATATAACTAGCAAGTGCAAAATTATATTTTATATTTATATCTATATATATATACTGTATTAGACTCTATTGTTTTATTTAATTATGTTTAAATGATATTTAAAATAAAAAAAATTATAACAAAAAAAATATATTGATTTAAAATAAAACGCAGTTAAAAATCCAAGCTGCACGGCGTGGACGTTGATACACAAGTGGCTCACAAGGAGCAATAACACGAAAAAGGGCAATTACAAGCCTTTCAAGCCCACCAGCCAGATAATGATAGTCAATTAAAATACTGTGTTATATATATATAATGGCTATATCCTGAGCATACAAATGCTTAAATTGAAACATCCAATAAAAAATCTTTAACTAGAATATTGTGTAGATAATGTAAGAAATTTCTTTAGATATTATATTATTATTAGTACTCAGTTCAAGTACACGTAGTTAAAGATCATACATCTCATAATTTGGCAATTCAACCCGGGTGCCAGTAGAAACCAAGCAAATTGTTTCTAAGTAAATTTTTTTAAAGCTTTGAAATAAAATATCTCAACAACTAATAAACCAAACTTAATAAAATTTTTTTATTTTAATTCTATATAGTTATAGAATTAAAATAAAAAAATTTTATCAAGTTTGGTTTAATAGTTGTTGAGATATTTTGATTTAAAATTTTAAAAAAACTCACTAAAAACAATTTGCTTGGTTTCTACTGGCACCCCCATATGTGTATTTGTATTATTATGTAAAAAATATATATATAAATCACTTATTTCAAAACAAATCAAATACAATACATAATTAATTCGAAATCAGAAACCTGAACATTAATTTGAATCGGCCTAATATTAAAATTTGTCCAAGCATCATCATTCTTGCTATAATTTGCTAATTCAATAGATCAAGATAAAAACCTCAATCAGTGCTTAAATAACCTTTGAAATGGTTTTGATTTGTGGATTTTTTTCTGGATTCTTTTGAGTTATGAATTAAGGTCTAAAGCTATTAATGTTTGTGGTAAATTTTTGTTAACAGTTAATAAAGTTAATAAAACATCATGTTCTCAAAAGTACTTTAAACTATATAAATAAGTTACTCTATCTATGCTAGCTCAAACAATATGTAATATAAAAATTTAATTGGATAATCTAATAATTCTAATTGTTAGTTTTAAGGGGTGATAAAAATTTTTTAACTAGGCTCCTACAAATAGTATAGTGGTTTAAGTATATAATGTAGCATGGTTGAGCTTTCAGTATGTTCAAATCTACTTTGTGACAATTATTTTTATTTTTATTTTTTTTGACTGAACTGTAGATCTACTCATAATAATTAACTAGGGTTTGGGGCATGGAGGCATAGACATGCCTTTTGAGTAGGGTGAGGGGCACAGGGGGCAAAGACATGCCCCCCCTTGTGCATGCCCCTGGGCATGTACAAGGGCATGCCTTTAAACTAGAAGGCATGCCCTTTCAAAAAAACATTAACCAAAATTTTCTTCATCTAAAATTATAATGTACGTATATACAATTGGCAAATCAAATAATTTGCTCTGCTTCTATACGGAAACTTTGAATCTATTAATGTGCAGTAACTGCATAGTAACTATGTAGCTACGATTAAATTTAATAGTAATTATGTCATTACTACGTCATTACTATGCAATTACTGTATATTAAGATATTAAAGTTTCTGTAAAGTTCAAATTTATCCCTTGGGTATAACACACCCATTACTTCTATTTTTTAGTATAGTAATTACTAATTTTAGTTTAGAGTGTTAATTGACTACATCTGATTCTAATACAAATAAAAATCGATAGTAATTATAACAAATTTATATTAGCTTATAATAAAAAGAGTTATTGATAATTATAGCCAAGTTTGTATTTCCGATTCAGGTTTCAGTAATTAATTTAAACTTATTGCTTTACTTCCAAATTAGTAAATGCATATAGGTTTGTATAAGCAATTTGCTATATAGTAATATCAAATAAGTATATGCTGTATCTATATAGTTATTCATTTGCTATTACATTTGTCAATATCATATGCCAAAGTGATCAAACAAAGTTTCAGGTATATAAAGCAAAGTAATAAAATCGACAGAAAGTATAATTAAGGGCAAATATTTAATAAATTTGCCATTAAATAAAAGTGAATACGCCAATATAATATATATTACTTAATATCGTGTTAGATTAAAATAATTTTAATAGCCTAACGAAATGTATATACAGTAATTAAGAGCAAATGTTTAATGAAATTTGCCATTAAATAAAAGTGGATACACCAATATAATACATATTACATGTGTCAAGTTAATATCATGTTAGATTAAAATAATTTTAATAACCTAATGAAACTCTTTAAATTTTGATCTGACATATTTTAACTTGATATACAAAATATACATTACATTTGCCAGTAGAGATTCACATGTAGCAAATATATATAAAAAACCCTAAATTTTGCCTTAAATAAAGCCAGAGAACCTTCTAATTTATTATAAAACAGTTTTATAGAATTGTAGCATAAAAATACTTACCACTTATATAATTTTGTATTGTTAAACTTATTGTTTGCCCAAATTTGATAATAATATCTGTTATACAAAAAAAAAATTGTTAGCGAATTTGTTAATTCTTCAATTATGTTTATTCCTACTGGTTTTGCTTTACCACTCCCGACACAAAGCCAATGTTGGTATGGCTTTTATCATTCTAAAATTAAAGGAGCAGGAAACAGATATACTGCAAAATGTAAATACTGCTTGCATGAATTAAGTGGTAAACCTGAAAGACTTCATCAACATGTTCTTCGGTGCAGTGATTATCCTGTCACTAAAAAAACTATTTATCTTCAAAAAATAACCGAAGAAAGCCTTCCATCTCAAAAACGCATCTATAATAATGAGGATAGTATTTCTATTGAGCAAACTGATCATAGTAGTATACAACATTCATCTATATCTCAACCTCACCAAAAAACTATTGTTGATTGGTGTTCTCAGCCTTTTTCTTAATCACAATATGAAAAGCTTAATAAAAAATTCTTAAGAGCAATTGTTTACGGAAATCTTACCTTTCGCTTTATTGAAAATCCATATTTGCAAGATTTTCTTCATGATCTAAATTCCTCTTACCATCTTCTTTTCTGGAATATGTTTAAAGATTATTATTTAACTAAAATGTTTTCTAGTCATTTTCAAGAAAAATTAAATACTCTTTTAATACTTATGGATTTTACAATTTCTCTCGACGGATGGACTGACAATTCTGAAAATTTGATTTATTGTTTTATGGCCCTTAAAGAATGTCAATAAACTGTACTAGATATCCTTGACTTATCTGCATATCGGCACAAAGGAAATTTTCTTAAAAATAAAGTAAAGGAGGTTCTAACTTTAAATAGCATTCAAATATCATCCGCGATTGTCTGCATAACTGATAACCCCTCAAATATGAAAAAAATGAAAAAATTGCTTAATAATGAATGTTCTTATATTATTTCTATTCATTGTTGCTTACATGCTTTTAATTTAATTATTAAGGATATCGTCAGTTTTTCTAGTATTGTTTCATTTGTAAAAAAAATCAAAAGCTTGTCAATTTTTTTAATGCATCACATATTTGGCATCGATAAATGCAAAATTGGCAAAAACAACAAGACATTAAGCACTTCTTAACTACATTCTGTGAAACTAGATGGTACTCACTTGCCAAGGTTTGTATGGGGGTATCTGCTTATGAGGAAGGTTTTCGGCACTGTCTTTTGTTAAGTGAAATTGAACGTCCCAAGTATCCTGAAATTGATAAT